GTCAAACAAAAAACAACATAATTATGTTGGCTATGCTTGTAGTTCAATGTTTTCTTTTTCCTGAAGAAACTGAAATGACACACTCTGCTTTTACTATCCTGAGGAACATTAACCTTGAGGGCTGCATTGAAAGTTGAGGGGAACAGTGAATTGGACAGATCAAAAGAGTGGTCAAAAAGGAAATAGAAATAGAATAGCATAGTTTTTGGGGTGTTTTTTAAACCCAAAATCTATGCTAGAGATGGAACTCAAGCAGATTAGCTGTTCTTCAGTGATCAGGAGGGTGGAAGGTGTGTTTATCACCAAAATGAGAAGCAATAATAAGCAGTGCTGTGCATTACTAGGAGTACTTAGGTGAGCTTGGCTAGCCACAAGAATTATTTAATATGATCAGTCATTTTTGTTCTCCACAACACCCACAAGTTAGGAATTTGCAGATGTCATCCTGATGCTGCCAGAAACAGATTCACAGTAACCTCAATATGTCACCAGAAAGGGTTTCTGAAAATCCTTTTGTTTTCCATGTGGCATCTTAGTATGTTGGCAATACAAGTGTAATGTTATTGCCTTAGCCACTCTTTGCTATTACAAAATATTCATGCCACATTACTTTAAAAAGTAGCATTTATTCTGCACCAACTAGTCAAATGAAGCAAACTTGCAGTTTGATAAACAGTGTATAGATTGAAAATTTGAATTAGACAATATAATTTTTTTTTCTGGCACATTAAGTGGATGTTAATTGCATTTATTCAGTCTGATCATTAAAAGACTGGAGAATCCTGCAGTCACAATCATGAATTTGCATGGCTGAGTCCAAAGGACAAGTAATGTGTGTATTTATCTGTGTCTTGAAATGTACTTTTGGGTTTTGTCTTTGTGATCTGCGATGTGCCTCTAGTGAAAAGGCTCAAAAAGGGAGATTACCTCAGTCTGGATGATGTACATTTGCATATGCCACAGTTTTAAACTCAAGCACCACATAGATTGGGAGGAAAGGGTGAAAAGTGAGGTGAGGAGGGGGCAGATTTATTTCCTCAGGTGACCTTGCAGCTAAAACTGAGGTCTGAAAAACATCACTCCTGTGTCTCCTCCTGGGTGTTGCTTTGGGATTCTCCAGTTAGTGAGTCCATTAAAGAAATTCACTCTTTGCTCTTTGCATTTCAGCCATGGTTTTGTGGCTGTGCTGGTCACCTGCCTGTGTCGATTCACACAACTGGTAGCATTTTTTCCAGTGAAATTCTTCTTTATTATGCACTCAGAACCTCCAGCAAGTGCACCAGGATGGCCCCAAACCTGCCAAGCAGCACAGTAGTTCTTCACCACTTCTATGAACATACTAAACAAGAAGCTAGTCCTGAATTAATCATTAATTTCCTGAAATTAATCATTTAATTTCTGATGTAAATCACAAATACCTCTCACGTGGAAAAAGGCACCATTATAGTTTTTATTACACCTGAGATCGATTTTTAGAGAGAAAATTTTACATTGATGTTTTGAGAAATAATTAGCAATATGTCTTTGGGAGAAGCCAGTCTTGAATTCGAAACTCTAAAATTTATATTGTTCTTTTATTTTGCAGTCTGGTTGGATGACAAAGTCTAAAAGATTGATAAATTTTGAAAGGAGATTTCTAATATTTCAAAATTATATGACCTTACTGAAGATGAATCAAAACTAAGATGTGGTGTGTCAATAATCAACAGATAATTTTCAAAAGAATCAGAAGTTTTTGAATAGTTTTATTTAGATGAAACTAGCTAACACCGAACAGTTTACAGGTAATACAAACTGTATTTTTGCAAGTATTGTTCTGATCTGTCAGCTTCAAAACCTCTCTCACTGTTGACTCCAAATTTCTTTGTTGCAATATTTATAAACCTGCTCTCATGTGTCTTTTAAGGAAATGTGAATTAGCCAAATAATGAAGCTAAAATTATAATCTGTTTGATAGCTATTTGAATAAAAAATCAAAAAACTTGCTGTTATCCAGCAGCACGCCAGAGACTGCCTTCTTTTACCTAAAGGTACTCATTTTATTACTTGTAAAGATAAAGACTAATTAAATGTTACACAGCCTTTCAGTGATTCAAAAGCTCCACTAATGAGAAGTACCATCCTGTTAAAAAAAAAATTAAAATTCAGGCAGAGAGGTCTTAAGAATGAAGGGAAGCAAAGGGCACTGAGTGAAACCAAAGTGGCTTGCAGCAGGTCAGTGTCTGCCACTGGGACAACACCCTGGAAGAGTATTTGGTATTTTAGAAATACCAATTCGAGCTCTACATCTCATAAAAGAAATCTGAGCGTTGAGGAAACTGTGAGATCGCTCCAGCTCCATTGTTGGAAATGACATAGGATCGCCATAAATAGGGGTCATGGAAAACCCATCTGCTTCTAACTCTGCAAACAAATTTGCACAGAAAAACCTCTGTGTCCTTTGGTACCTGCTGCTTTTGACTGTGAGCAGCAGACGTGTATCAGACTGCTCTTCCTGACAGAGTTTGGGTTCAACAAAACCAGGGGCCTGTGGGGCACAGTGGAAAGTAAAGATCCAAATCATGCTGGGTTTCTAATATTCCTGCTGGCATTATATATATACACATATATCTGTGCATGTAAATATATATACACCAGAACCTGCTTTCCATTTCCTTCTCCAGTTTTTACAGAAAGACAGAATTCAAGGCAAATCAGGTTGTGTGTGGAAAGACAGCCAAAAATGTGCATGAATTTGTGTATATCATCTATATCTATATCATCTATATCTATATCATCTATCTATATCGATATCAATATCGATATCAATATCAATATAATCTATATCTATATCTATATCTATGTATATCTATATATTTATATCTATATCTATATCATCTATCATCTATATCTATATATCTATATCATCTATCTATATCTATATCATATATCTATATATCTATATCATATAAATATATATATATATTTATATGCCTATCTGTGTAGCTAGATCTCTGTGTACGTGTACTCTGCACTCACCTACACACATTTCATGTGCCTGTAAGCTTTTGCATGTTTTCCAGTGGTCTGGGTATTGTAAGAAAAAGAGGATTACCATGTGAGTTCCCTGTGCACTCCCACTGGGGTCCTTCTCCTTGGACTAGCCAAGTCCCTCTGGATGGCAATGAGGTAGAAAAGCTCTGTAATTGGAATAGTTTTGTCAGTGCTGTCTGGAGCTTCATTCTCTCCTCCATTCAGATGCACAAGGGGTTGTTAGAAGTAGAACTGCCCTAACTGCCCTTGCTGGGAGGTTTTGGCTCCTTTTTTGGGGGGAGGAAGACAGCCCCCAGCTGCCTGGCTCTCCAAATGTGGGGAGGAACTGCTGGCAAGGGGTGAGGGGCTCATCTTTGAAGACACAATTGATAAAGTCAGGGATTAGGTTGCCCCACCCATGATGAAGGTCAAAGGCACAAGTTTAACTGCAAACTGTAGGTTTATCCATGCATTTTTGGTTGGTATTTCTCAGAATTAGGTGATTGCAAACAGGATCTTTTGTTTAATTTTTGTAATGTGGTGAGTAAGTACAGTCAAGGTTATTCAAGCTCAGTGCTGAGTTTCATTAAATCAAAGGGAATGAAGGGTTAATACCTCATCCTTGGAGTTTGGAATGACATTTGAGCATGAAAAGCAAGTTTCATTTAAATGTGAACCTTTTCAAATTATATTTTCTGTGAACTGGTGCCAACTCGATTACAGAAACTGCTTTTGTACTGATCTGGTTAGTAAGCTGCCTGTTTGTTTTGAATCTAATACAAATGCTTAAATTTAGTGACATGCATATATTGCATATATTCCTTGGCTTTAAGTATTGGAGATTCTGTCATTCTTAAATAGTCTGTTCTGGAAGATATTGTTAAGAAATTAAAAATGACCTTTATGTAAGAATTCTTTAGAAGGGTTAAACACAGACGGAATATGCCAAACTGAATTAATTTTTTAATAAGCTGAAGATTTTACTGTTGGGTCCTACAAAGGGCTAAACTTTATTTAGACTCTCCCCTTCATATCTCTAGAGTAATGGGAAATAGCTGAATTTGTAATGAGCATTAAAGCCAGCATAAAAATTCTGATATCCGTTCCCCTGCGTAAGGATCAGTGATTCTGTGACTTGTTGATCTCCAGTTTAGTGAGTTGTACATTTCTCATGATGCTCACCACCATGGCCATGGTTCAGGAAGAGGCTGGCAGTGGAGCAGCTTGCTGGCATCTTGATGTGATGAGAGGTCACCTAGCAATGCCATGCCAGGTGGAACATCTGTGTGCTCCCCACGGAGAAAAAGTGACCTCGCTGCCCTGTCTTGTCAGAAAACAAAAAGGCCGAGGGTATCATCCTGCATAGAAGTTAAAAAACGGGCTTAAAAAAAAAAAAGAAGTAATAGGAACTTCAATCTTGCTTTTAAAGCCTTTACAGAAGAGGCAAAGAGATATTCTTAATAATACAAATAATAAAAAATGTTTCAGTGTTTCTCAGTAACAATTACAGCAAGAACCTATAATTAAGTCAGGATTACCTATTTTATGCTCTTCCAGTGTATATAGAACACTGAAATATTTGAGCTTTGAAAAGCCATGGCTCCTGAAAATCTTGTTTCACCGTTTGGAGCTAACACAACTCAGTGAGAATTTTCCTCAAGGAAACTGTATATGGTTATATCTCACATACAGGTTCCCTGAATTGTTTTTCCTGAAAAAAAACTAATTGTTGAAAATGTGTGATATGAGGATAGTCTTTCAGTAATCATTGCCTAGATATGATGGAAAAAAGTGCATACAGACATCCTGTAGTCCTTATTTCAGCCTCCCATTGCATTGATGTAGCAGTAAATGGGTATAGAAATAGCTTTTCTTGAACTTTGTCAGGCAAATGCAAATATGGCATAAAATCTTTTCTTCAAAGAGTTGGGTTCATAGTTTTGTGAACTGCTTAACTCCAATTTCCTTGTTCGATATTTCTTTGCTAGAAATAAAGTGGATTCCATCAGCAAGCTAAGATATAAATCTTGAATGACTGAGAACTTTGGGAACTGGTTGGAATAATGGATTGAATGTCATCTGTGTATGCAAAGTCGTCAGAATCTGTCAATCTTCAGGAAAGCTTTGAGGTGGGTGTGTATTTACATACCTGTGTCTATAAGGTGACTGTGTGGGACAGTCCTCAGCTTTAGTGACAGCGTATTTGAATCATTAATCTGACCCCTCATTCTGATGGTGCCTGTCAGATTCCAGGGTATAGCCATATGTTCCTTTTGGAAAGAGCTAGTGTAGTTTAAATACCTTGAGAGCCACTATTCCCACGCAGAAATTGTTTTCTTTCATAAATTTGTGACTTGGGTGCGCCTTCTCAAACTGCAATGCCCATTGCCCAAATCTTCATTTTCCTTACACTTTTTTGACTTATTTTGACTGCGCTGGTGCAGATAAGCACTTCTGACTTTCCCTTGCCAGCTGAGTTTCGTGGTTTATAACCTGTTTACCTGACCAAAACACTTTGTTGCTTCCTTGCCTACTTTAACTCCTTCTGTCTCTAATTCTCAGCTGTGCTCTCTGAGCTGAGCAAGCCAGCTTTCCTTATCCCTGCCTTTCTGATGACTTGCTGCTGTTTGAGTTCATCTGCTAATGGATTATATGATGCTGGAATGATGGATAGCTGTAGGCAGATGAGAAGCAGTAGGTATTTGTTACTGCTTTCACACTTAGCATTCCAAGGACAGCCTACTGCAAGCTTCACTGGAGCCACTGCAAGGGCTTCTCTGAGAAATGATGAAGGAGTTCCCTTCTTCCAAATGAGATCATTTGTAGGGAAATATCCTCTTTTCCCAAATAAAATTAAAAGTCTTAAAAACTGCAAATAAATAGATTTTATGTTGTTAACATTATCTTTTTTCCTCCAGGTTTATTTTGCAGTAGCATTGCTCTGTAATTGTGGTTTATCTCTCCCAAGAGAATTACTTAATTCTTTGCAGCTTTTAACATCGAATTTCTTACACAAAAGAGATGCTCAATGTATTGTCTTTTCTGTGTTATGTTATTTAACTTTATTAATAAGTCAAAGGTATAATGATCATCCTTGGTACCCTAGAACAGAAGAGTTCTCAAAAAAAGAAATAGAATTTTTTTTTCCATTGAACAGTTCATAATATATTAATGACAACCCTCACATGCACCAGTGTCCTTAAACATCAGGTTTGCTGGTACTTATAATTCCAGAGCACATCAAAGGATTGTCAGCCTGCTGTTTAATATCTGAACATTAGCACAAGGACAGAACACTTGTGGATTTTAGGGAAAAAGCCTGATTCATTCACTATACCTCAATTCAACAACTTACACCATCCCTCAGGTACTGGATAGCTTCCCACAGCTGGGAGGCAGCAAACCCAGGAAGAACTCCATAAACATTGATCATTTATTTCATTGCAGAGCTCGCTTCTTTAGTTTAAATTGCAGATGAGATGGATTAGAACCGACCCGACAAAGTTTGCAGTGAGGTAAATTAGGTACTTCCACCTCTGCAGCTTTAAAGCTCATCTGTGAAAAGTGGGCAGGGGGAAGGAATAGCTCCTCTGGAACTGGTCCAGTTCAATAAAATGGTTGGGTCTAAACTGTCCCACAGGAGGGGACCAAGATCCCTCTTCCAGGGGATTTGTGGGCCCTTGCACTCCATCATTTGAAACCTGCCTCCAAAAAATCTGAGATGTGCACTGGATTAAATCAAAATGCTATTGTACATGGTTTCCAGAAAGGATTATTTTTATGTTTTAAATTTTCATTCTGAAGGTACGTTTTAAAAATAATGAGGAGTACTAATATTTTCCAAGAATTTCGGTTGCCTTTAATTGTTTATATTTCATGTACCTGGGAGGCTGTATCTAACTGGTCTTTTTTATTAAACCCAGAAAATTACATCACTGGTTACCTTTTAGCACTCAGCATCTCACTTGCTGAAGACAAAAGCAAAATTTTTAATTAATTTGCTGAACACCACCCCTTTTAGGCTGTAGAGAAAAAATGAAGTCTATTAGGAAAATATATTTTTGTACAACTTTCTAACCACTTTAAGAAATATTGAGAGAAAACAATCAGCTTCTAAATTAGAACAACTATTTGAAAAAAGGTTCTTGAGTTGGATTTCACTATGGCTCTTTTGCACAAAGGATCTATAAGTTTAAAACTAAGGGTTAGAACTCTTAAATTAATAAATTAACAGTACAAAACATCTTGCCTGAAGGATATCAAACACGTAAAAATATTACTAATAGGTAAATCAGAGAACTGGCTGTTCTCTAACTAGTCTGTTGGTATTCTCAAAGGAGGTGATCATTATATAATTATTTTCTTGAGGCAGACAGCATCATCAACCGCTTTTTTTCTGAATTTTATGGCATGCTAATTTCCCATCTGTCCCAAGTAATACAGACTCTACACTTTATCTCATCCACCATAGCTTAACAGCAGAATTGCAAGAAATAAATGTCTGCTCAGTCCTTCTGAAGGCTGGCTTCAGATGAGAACGATCGTGGTGTTTGGATTGGAGGGAGCATTCTCTCTCACACCTGTCTCTAACATTTGTTATTAATGCCTTCCAGTTGATAATCACCAAGCAAAAACACTTCCTTGCTCTGGAAATCCAGGCCCAGGCGCTCACAGGATTTGTAGTGCTCATCCCCAACAACTTCAGCAGGTGCAAACAGATGGCTGACATTTCTGTAAGGCCATAAAATGCAGAATAAAATGCAGAATACTACTGTCCTGCTACGCCTAACTGGAATCAATTAAGTATGAGGCAGGATATCAGCCCATGAATCACAAGTCATTTGTTTCCTGTAAATTGCATCGTTTGTTGGGCTTTTTTTAATGCTTCATTTCATGGAAGCCCCAGGGGGAGCAGAAAAGGCAGCAAAAGGGAGAGGTAAGTGGATACTTGAAGCAGTTAAATTGGAAAGTGAGATTCCCTGTTAAAATCTCTGGTTTTGGAGGTTATTGCCATATTCTATTTTCGATTTCATGTTCCTTCTTGTTTGATCTCCTGAATGCCTTCCTAAAATATGCTGGGTCAATTACTTATGCTGTGCTTATATGGCTAAACCTGGACCAAAACCAATGACTATAACCCTTCTTGAAATTATTTTTCTGAGCTTGATCCTTTCTCTAATGCTCTAAAAATAGTTGTATCAGGACAACTAATAGATGCAGAAATTCACAGCAGAAGGGGCTTCAACCAATGTTTCAGAGCTTTTTAGCTAGCTTTGGAAACTCATAGTCTAATGTGTAGACAGAACAAAATTGCCATGAACAGAGGTAACTGAGTGGAAAAAGGACAAAAGGCAGAAAAATCTTCAGATGGGAAATACAAAATTAAAACAAAGAGGAAAGGTTTATTAAGAATCTAAAAAAACTTCACTTTTTTTTTCCCTGATTCCTATGTGCATAGTGAAATGTAAGAGGAAGGTAAAGTATAACAATAGAAATTTAATTTCGCTTCATGCTCCTGTTTTATATCCTCAGTTTTCTCTGAGTTAATAAGAAACCTTTGCTAATTACTGCCACAAAGGTGAATAAATGGCAAGGGGAAATAAGCAAGAGTTGTTTATAGGGTGAGTGTGGTGACATTATCTTAAAAGAATAAGTTGATGTGACAATGTTTTAAATATGAGCTAGCAACTGCTGGTAAATTTGCACTGCCTGTTTTTAGCCTTTAATTTGTGAGAATGCTGTGAATAGAGATTAACTTCCTTTACTTAATATTTCCTGTTTCAGTGCCTTCAAATTGGACCTGTCATCGATGTTTTTTGAAAAGTTGTTCATTTTCCCAGGTTTTTGTGTTGATTTCTGTTTGTCACATGATTCACTCTTCCAGTATGGAAGAATGGAGAACCAGTAGAGGCCTTTTGTCACATTGCCTGAGCATGGAGGATTTCATAGGCTGGGACATTCAGGGTAAAATATTCATTTTCATTTTATTTTCCATTATTTCCTTACAAAACAAATAAAATATGCAAAATAAAAGTGAGTCTGTACAAGCAACTAGTTTACGTCAATATTCACGGAGAAAAAATAATGTTTTATGGTGCATGTGATGTCAATTAAAACCAAGGAATCTTTACATATTCCCAAGTAGAAACACCACATATGGTTTCAGTATATAGCCTCTATTCTGTTAAAAAAAATAATCCAACTTTTTCCTATAATCTTTTTATAGGAGAAGTAAACTGTTGAAGATCCATTTGTCAAAGCTTGATCTGATGTTGGAAGCACACACTGAAAACATAAAATAAGTTGCAAGGAATGAATGTAAAGACTGATAGTCTGCCTGTCATGAATGCTTTGAAATATGTATTTCCATTTAATTTCTTCAAAATTAGAAAAAGCACTTAAAATGAATTTCTTGTTACTAGGTGGGCAGCTTTTGCAATGGAATTTGGAAGCAATTTATGTGATGGAACTGGCAAGATAAACACCTGAGATGACATGGAGACACTGGGGAGCTTTGAAGGCAAGTTATACAAATGGGAACTAAAAATGAAAGAGGGGAAATTGAAATGAAGATAAAAAGGTTTAAATACCTGAGGGCAAGGTAAAAGGAAAGCAAAGACCTCAGATTCATTGTATTCAAGTAGTATGATCAGAGTGATTTTTCTTTTCTAAAACCAAAAGAATATGTCAATGTAAATTTTTTTCTGGTAGAGGAAACATACTTGAGGTTTTCTCTATCACTCATTTGCAAATGGCAGTGCTCAAATAGTTATGAAAATTAATAGGACAGGGTGTTTTATTTGGGAGTTCGCCTAGGGAAGAGTCATATCCTCTAAAGAAAATGCATTTTTTCTTTCACCTGGTGGAGCTAACTTTAAACTCTCTTTAAAAGACCATGGGAGACTCACAGAAAGCATTAATGTAATGTTGCCAAGCACGTGCCTTTTTTCTCTTTCCTTCTGCCACTGAGGGTTTGGGTTGCTGCTCCTCCTGTGCAATTTCAGTTTGCCTCTTTGCTCTGCTAAGGTTGCTGTCATTGGTTCACCACATTCCTTGGACATTTGCTGCACATTTTACTGGCATGAGCATGAATAGAAATATAATTCTGACATTAATTAGCTGAGAATGTGTGCATCACTGGAGAATAAAAGGAATATATTTCCAGAAAATCATTCCATTTGTTTTTCAGAGTATCTCCTGACTACTGGATTTAAACACTGAAAAAGAAAAGGGAGCTGGGACATCTGAAGGTGATAAATAAATAAATAAATAGATAAATAGATAAATAAATAAAGACTGGAGGGGGTGTGTTGAGGGTCTCTCTGACTTTGGCAGGACACTCACTGGGCTCTGGAGGTACCATCAGAGGCAGAAACTTATTAAAGCAGCTCTGCTGTGAATGACTCCACAGGATATCATGAAATGGTGATCAAATTGTGACAAAAAGCACAATGACGTGCTTATTTACACTCTTATTTCACTAGAGGAAGTGAAGATATTTATGAATGATTGCTTAGTCAAATATCCTGGTTCTCACAATAGGTTTCTAGTTTCTCGTGACTTGCCATAAAATAGGGATGAAAAAACCCAAGAAATTAAAGGATGCCACATCCCTCCAGAGTGAGGGAAAGGCAGTGAGCTGAAAGCAGAGCTGTGCTGTCCATGGGGAGCATGCTGCCTGTCTCTTGAGAGTCTCTTTGGGACTCAGCTTGACCATGGGCTGGACATTGGTCCAAGTACTCCATTGGTTTAGATTACTGAATGCTTGAGACTCGTGGTCTCAAAAATAGAGTTGCAGAAACCCTGATATAAACCTACTGAAAGATCAATACACTTCTGATGTGAATAACTGGCTTAAATTCTGTTGATACCCTAGGAAAAAGAAGATCTAAATGCTGCTTGGGAAATGGTGTAAATCAACACATACAGTTAACCAGAGGGACCTTCAAACCATTACTGACATGCAAAAAAGTTGATTTATTTCATTCCCTCACTAACAACATCAACCCAAAGCTTAACTAGGCATGAGTGAGTGCAACAGATTGGCTGAATAGAGAAATTAGAAGACAACAGCAGAGGCTGAAAAAAGATGTTTGATGTCATTGACGCTAAAAAAAAGGCTGGGATCTTGACATGCAGAAAAGCAAGTGCCAGAGAGATTAAAGAATTTGGTGAAGCACATGAAAATTAAAAAACAAAAAAAAAACTGCTAGAAGGAATTTGTTGAAAATATAGTAGAGAACTATCTCTAGTAAAACTAAGGCATCTCCATTCAAAATTAAAAGCAAAAAACACAGAAAGGCAGCAAGTCCAAGTAGGGTACTAGTGATATTTCCTAAATAAGGGAAAAGGTTGTTTCTAACTCTATGGAAATTTATCAGTGGACATTTGATTTAAATGTGCAGTCCAAGAAAAACTTCTTTTACTTGACAGGTTCAGCTGAACAGCACAGACCTATGATTTTACATCTCCTAGGACACCTTAGTGTACTGCACAGTATTAAATTAGAAAAAGAAATTATGATAAGAATATATGTAAGAAAATACCAAAACTTTGGTGAGAAGTCAAGATAGTTTATATTAACTTTAGCTTTAACTGTGCAAGAGGAAAAAACAGTGAGCAGAATAATGTTAGATATGGGAAAGGAGGCTGCCAGAACCAAGATCATTACAGGCTGAAATCAGAGAGCTATAGCAACCAGAAGCAATTCAGAGCTGTATTAGCTACCTTAGGTAGGATAAAACAGCCTTAATTAAAAGTAACCACATTTACTTTGAGTTTATAGACAGACACTATATTAATAATATATACTAATATGCTAATTAGTGTGCTAATATATACTAATATGCTATCATTCAAATAGCAGCTTGTTCACCTTGCTATCTTCAGCTAAATTTCATCCTTGTTTTAATTAATTTTTGTCACATACTATTGTATCAGACACTAATATTGCACAAATGTTTGACAGTTTCTGTGTTCTGTTAATGCAGAATTTCTGCATTCTCACATGTTTCTTTCTAGTTTTGCCTTTTTTTTCTATTTTTTTTTTTTTTTTTTTTTATACTTTTTTTTTTTTTTTTTTTTTTTTTTTTTTTTTTTTTTTTTTTTTTTTTGCAAACATACCTGGTATAAATTAGTTCTCGATCTCCTCTAATGTTTTAGTTTTTTTTAAATGGATGTTCATCTTTCAGGCTGTAATACCAGGATCTTCAGTTCTCTTTCTGAATAGTGGCAGTACTGCTGAGATTCTGGACCTGCAATCCAGTTCTCTCAGAGCTGTTGGCTTGAGATTTTCCCATACAACTGCTTAGATTAGGATTCTTTTTAGCATGGTAATTTCCATTTCCATAACTTTTTTCCCCACGTCTCTCGTGCTCTCTTCCCTAGCTCAGTTGTCCACGAGCAAGCTGAGGGAATTGCATTCATTCCTTTTATTATTATTATTCATTCCTCTGCACACACCCTGGCGATGGAAGGTCCACTTTTATACATTATCCCTCTTTGCCTCTTACAGCCTTTCACACCATTAGCCCCCAGTATATTCTGCACCATCACTTTGTGCTTTAATTCCTTGCTCCGGGCACACAGTTCAATATTCCACTTCATTAAAACTCATCCTCCAACATATCTCTGGCACTGTAACTCTTACTTTCAGCCTGATGCATTTCAGCATTAATTCTGTTTCATCATTTTGCTCCCTAGATACCTGGAATTTCGATACAAACATTACTAACTTGTTTATATTTTGACAGTTTTTCTCTCTCTGTTTCATAAAAAATGTGCTTTCTAACTTTCAGTGATGACATACATGCCATTTTCTGCAGCAAAGGAAAAAAAAACAGGATTTTGTGGGGGGATATAGCTTTGCTAGTCAGTTTGGGTGAATCTTTTGGCAGTGTGAAAAACAGACTCCAGTTTCTCCAGCCCACAGTGATGTTCATTTCTTCTGTCAGGTGATATGACTGCCTGTGTATGACTTCTGCTAAGGCATTTTTGACAAATTTATTCCCTTTGGTGTAAGAAGAGTTATCCAGTGGTTTCTGTTAGTGCTCATTTCCAAATTATTGACTGCATTTTGATTCAATCTGTGCCAAACTACATTTATTTGGTAGGAAACAATACTTTTTTCTTTGGTAGTATGATCTGCTTGAACTAGTCAAATTGCTATATAAATATTAAACTTCCCAAAGGTCTTTTTGATAGCAAAAGGTAATTATTTAGGTTAGCACGAGGGCTAAAAGGAGACATATAGAGAAGCCACAGAAGAGCTGCTTTTAAAGCTCAGACCTCTGATTTAGCTGTTAGAAGTTATTTGGTCTCTGGTTTAATTTGGCATAGCTAGTTTATGTTCCTCTGGTCCAGAATAGTGTCAGTGCTTGGGTTACCTTCTGAGGTCACCTTCATATTAAAGGATTTATGAGTTAATTATTCCAGTAGGGTTTGTTGAAAGCTTTCTCTTAGGATCAGATTTATTCACTGTACATATTTAAGCACTTCTGTCTTTATTAGATGGTTTTGTTCTTGCTCCTAGGAAACAATACCAAACCTGGAGGTTTCCAAGATTTGAGCTGTAAATACAAAAAAGGAAAAATCTTCACCTTACAGTTAGAATCTAGAAACCAACCTAAAAACCAAGGAAGACATTAGAGAAAACATATGGAATTCTGTATATAATATCAAATGAGCAAATTGTCTACTATGTGTAATATTTTCCTTCTCCCTACCACCACAGAAGGCTCTGCTCCTCTGAAGTCTCAGATAAAAATACAAGGAAACCTTCCTGAGTCCATAGCCCTGTTATTGAGTATCTTCTCATGATGAGAAGCTTTTACTTTTTGAATTTAAATTATCCAGCTGAAAGTCTGTAATGCCAAAATAATAGATTGCAGGCATTCATTGCAGATTAGTGTGTTTTTACTGATTTTTTTTTCATGTAAAGGTGATAAAGTCAATATAGTAAAAATATATCCAAGAATGAAAATAAGAGAAATTAAGGACAAAATAAAAATTCTACAATGCTGAAGGAAGTGTACACCAGGTAGAACACACTGGAGATTATGCTAGGACTCTCAATATGCTTCCCCTCCAAGAATAAGAGGGGAAAATGTCAGTAAAGTTTTTTATTTAAAAAAAAGATAGATTTTTTTTCTGTGAAAAATTTAGATGAGAGCACCTAGTGAACTTTATTACCTTCAGACTTATGCAGATGGTGAGTGGGTTTAATTCAGAGTGGAGACTTACATGCCAAAAGTTCTCAAACATCCTGGTTTTGGCACTCAGGGGGATTTTTAGGATATGGCCCTTATGGCAGGATTATAAAATTCTTGTTCATGTTGTATCACAAACTATTGCACCAGGCTTTCACCTCTTTCCTGCTTTGTACATAATGTGAGAAATTTCACTCGTTCAGTGATGTTTTGTGGAGATTTCCTGTTTACCTACCACCATTTGTGCTCTTAATGAATTCAGATGAAATACTTTGAAGTGAGGTGCTGCTCACTGTGAGTAGGAGCACCACAAAATGGTTCATATGGTGCATAAGTCATCAGGATATTTTGCAAAATTATGCAAGTTCCATGGTTACATAAAAAACATAGAAATATTTTGCACCTCTGAATTCTTTTTCTTACTAAGGAGTCACCCTTTACCCTTCTATGAATTTTTGTTTTACTCTCAGGACTTTTTTTTCAATATTCAAGTTGTTTGGGAAATAATTCCATAAAGGTTTTTTTTTTCCAGAAAAATAATTAGTAAGAAATGCATTAGGAGATTACATATGGGATACACACCTATATTTTCTACCCATGTTTGCATTTCGATTGTCTGCAGAGGACCCACATCTGATTAGGGAGGTCTTTTTGTCTCACAGCTTGTCCCAGGTACTGCACTGAAATAATTCAGTTTATAATCACTGTGTACTTAGTGGATCATCTACTCTGTTGATAATCAGTGGAAGAAGAAGGTGGCATTCTGAGACTCAGTTTCCCTTCAGATTTTTGTTTTAGCTGATGATGGATTTATTAGCAATTGATCAGATGACTATCGATTTATTATCTTGTCTTTTGGTAAGACTATAATGGCAAAATAGATGTCTATTTGTAACTGTGCTTTTAATATCTCTTCAGAATCTCTGTAATGTAATCTAGTGTTAACTTAGTTTAGTGGTATATTTCTTTAAATATCAATTTACTTCTTTCACTCAGCATTACTGATCTCAGTATTTCCATTTTATGCATGTTGATAGACAGATACAGAAGAAATTTTTTATTTCAGCTTGTAGATGGAATCTGTGTTGATCATTCAGAAGTTCCATAATATTAGTAATACAATCACAGCCCCATAAAGCAAAGTATTGGTTTTTTCAGTGTCACACAATTTGGATATTGATGTACTTGCCTCATCTTGAATTATAAAAATAATATATATTGTGAAATCTTAAGCTGATAGTCTGTGAACCTGAAAATAAAAAGGGAGGCTTTTTTTTTTACATATGGTCTATTTCTGTTGTTTGGACTGTTTTCCAGATAACCATCTGTAACAGAGAAAGGATGGCAAGCAAACTGATTTCTCATACTTGGTTGCCAAGATTCATTAATATCTGCTTAGGATGGCACACTGCCTAATCAGAGGCTGCTTGGACTCTCCGTTGCAGGTTTCAAACAATAATGTGTTTAGAGCCTGCCTTTGGGCAGGTCTTTTGGCACCAATCTAACAAATTTCTGCACATGATTAAACTTTGTGTAGAGCTGTGTCTGCTAAAAGGAAAGAGAAAGAAAGAGAGAGAGAAAGGAAGGCAGAGAGAGAGAGAAAGGAAGAGAGAAAGGAAGA